GCCCCTGATAGGTTAGGCGTGGTATTGAACCGGACGACAGCAAAGCTGTCTACAACCAAAATTGGGTGGCGGTGGCGGGGCTCGGACCATAGAATTCAAAGCACGCCAGTGACAGCAACTAAACTACTGCGCCACCACCACCCAAGAGGTCTAAGTTCATTAACGTAGGTCCGGTTATCTCACCATGATGTTCCGTAGACAGGTGTGCTAGAGTATCTATAAGCTAAATTTACATTTGCATGTAATAACTGTGCCCGAACACCATACATTTGAATTCGTCGGACTGTTGCAGGATAAACCCAGCCATTTCATACAGTCGGATGTCTCGGCGATGTCTTCTTTCATGTAAAGTTAATTAAAGATTAGATTATCGCTCATCCTACACATGTACAATAACTGACCTATGAACCACAAGATCAAATTAATGCTGTCCGTGCTTTTATTATTATTATTATTATCATTATTATTCGGCGCTCGTCATAAACAAAAACATTGAAACTCCTGGCACTTCCATGTGTATGCGTCTATTTCAGTGGAATGTACACAATAACATCGTGTCTATCGAAGCGCTTGTTTTTTTCCTCATACCAAAAATATCCAAGCCCAAGAATTGCTTATAAACTACTCAAAGATAGGCAGTCAACAGTCCAGACTAGAGGTGAACATTTTCTATCGTCAAGTTTGCCTTTTCCAGTTGTACAGCTGATCCGGATAAACTATTTCTTGTGTGACTTGGTACACGAACTGGTATACATTATATGTTTCGAAGAGCACTCTGATGGTCTTGTCCATGCTTGTTTCAGGCCTCCACCATTGCCAGAGATCTGTACTCCGAGACCGCCCGTTGTGGCCATATTGGGTCATGTTGACCACGGCAAAACGACCCTGCTTGATGCATTGCGCTCTAGTCGAATAGTAGACGAAGAATACGGTGGAATCACACAACACCTGGCCGCGTTTTCCGTATCCCTAGCTGATGTCGCCAAACAGGCCGGTGTCAAAGATGTGTCCAACATGATTTCCGGGTTGATGACAGACAGTATCACATTTCTGGATACTCCGGGTCATGCTGCGTTCTCGGCTATTCGAGCGCGGGGTGCGAAGGCAACTGATATAGTGATTCTAGTGGTGGCTGCTGACGATGGAGTGATGCCGCAGACTGTTGAATCCATTCGTTTCGCAAAAGAAGCCAAAAGTGAGTCCGTGGAGACGTATGGTCTTATTCATCTGCTTTTTGCTTACTTTGAGTTTATTTTGCAACGTATTTCGAGGTGCACTACCATGCTTTTGAAGGATGTTCTATTTTGGGCACAATGGTCTCACTTTGAATAGGTCATACAAAACGGCTTTTCGTCAGTGTAGGGTTTCACCTGTCGTCAAATGTCGTGACTCATCAAATTTTCTACAAAAATTAATAGTTTCGGCTTGCGATTTTCGTGGTTTTCGTTGTCGTCCAAGGCATAAACCGTATGCATTACGTACAGATTTCCACCCCATCACAACGAGACTGCACCTTGACGTGGTGTGATGGCTTGTGCACCTCTCTGACCCAACGAGCTACACAGGATGGCTTTTGTTAAGCCGAAGATCTAATCATGCCTAGAAGGTCAAAGGATAAAGGTGGAAGGAATTTCAGTCTCTTGGTCCTCCAGGCTGAGGGTTCAACTAGAATTTGCGTTTCAGTTGGTAAAAAATGGTGGAGGAGTAATTGATCCTAGTAAATGGACCTCCACTTCGCTTTACCCGCTGCCTTGCGGCTAGGTTCTTTTCCGAATTAAAGGCTGTGGTTGAAAACCCTAATCGTTCTCCTGTTTAGTGGCTGGATACCCTAGCAGTACCCGGCCATCAAACCCCAATGCATATGCATGCTAGTTTGCGAGTTTGGCAGCTATCAGTGAAGTTCGCGTCTCTGTATTTCGCTGTGCGATGATGATAATGCGATTTTCAGTTTGTTTTTTTGTCATCGTTTTTTTTCCACATTATTAACCGTTTTCGCCTGATTCACCTACCAATTGTATTCACGTCACAGTAACCGCCTTGCTTTTCTCAATACGTTGATCGTTTTGTTCCAACTTAATTGAATCAATATCTTTCGTGTTCTAGGTTTACGGTCTTACCAGCTGGTCCCCCTTTCTGTTTCTTCTGAACGATTGGTCTTTTCTTTGAATCTGCATTGGAAAATATGTTCATCTTAACCAGATTATCTTTCTAGTTGAAAGCCGGCTTCCATAATATCGTGTGGACTCGTTTAACTAGTCGCTTATTATGAAGCTCCATAATCGTCAGTGTCAAATCAGAAGTGAGTACCTTCCGTTGTGACTGGTTATTTATCTCTGGTACTTCTCTGAATGCACTTACACGAGCAGCGCGCGAATTTTTTCTAAGGCATGTAATGAGTGAAAAAAACCATGGATGGTCAAAATACGGGTGTAAAAACCCTAAACAGGAGACTCAGTCTTCAGGGTCGCGTTAGATTACCTTGATGAGGACCTCGAAATGATGTTAAATGCTAGTTAAAGACACTGGATGATATGAATGAGTGTTGTAAACAGTGGTGTTTGTGGATTCTCTCAATTTCTCTGCAGCCGCAGTCTACTGAAATTATCCATTTTGTTATTCGATTCTGCTTCCAACTAGCCTGTCTCTTTTTCTTACTGCTTCATCCAAATGGGCAGCCAAAAGACAGCAAGCAAAACCGGTGCACGAAAGTTCATGAATAATTGTTGTACAAGCTGAAACTGATACGATCGAAACTTCCTCGCTGTATTTACGTGTATGATGTATTTCATTAAAGCGACAAGTCAAAAAGCTAACAGCTAGGCTCGTGACCTGGTCATTAAACTACTGGAACTTCATTTAGGGGAGGTGGTAGAAAACCTTCTTTCCAAGCCAACCACGTAGCCTTTAACCGCACGTTCCCGTTTTCGGTTGTGGTTCCCTGCTACATTAGAAATCAAGACCCATTGGGCTCCTTGGACCTTGAACCCCATCCAAAAGGCGTATGATCCGCTTAACTGAACATCATCATTATCATCATCGTACAGCGAGGTACAGTGAAGCGAACTTCACTGATCGCTGCCAAGCGCATAATGTACACAAATCAAGTGATAAAGCTCAAGATGGAGAGGGATGGGGGCCTAATTGAAGGGAGTGAAAGTGAACCTCTATGGTCAACACACAGAGTACACAATCTAAGTTTGCATACATACTGTTTCAAGCATTTTTACGTGATAAGAAGGTTTTGGGGCAGAAGTTCACCTCTCCTTTCATCAGAGCAAATGTGAATTAATTTACCCTCCGTACGTATGGACACATATAAGTGACGATTTAAAGCGGTATTCCTGTGAGTTACAGAATATATATATATATATATATATATATGCCATTCTGTTTAGCACTTTAGCAAATATAATGGCGTATTCGTCCGTTTCGTGTACAATTTCTCTAGTAAAGTCTCTGTAACTCTTATGGCTGAAACAATGAACGCTGGTTACACTATCTAATTAATCCACAGGGAAACTTGCACTATTTTTCAAATCAAATTCTTCCATACAGTCGATACGGAAAATCGCGGCACTCAGACCTGTCAAGGTTAATCGGTTCGTATGTTCTTATCATATCGCCTCATGTGCATTCCATTTTCTACGGATGTGACATGATTTTGTCTTCTTTTCCGTGACCTCCTTTTTTGAAAGCACCGATCGTAGTAGCTATCAACAAAATCGACAAACGGGACACGGATGTGGTGAGTGATCTGTGCTTGTTTGAAAAAATTATCTCTCTCTCCTCTTCTGTCTCATATTGTTTTGGTTTAGGAATGCACTTTATTTGTTTTCACACACATATGATGCCAGATTGTGTCAAACAAATCATGGTACAATAATCTTTACAAAAAAGAAAAAAAACCTTCCATGGTTGGCTTGTGGGCTGAATACTGCCAGGTTGCCCAGAGCAAGGCAGGTGAATTTTCTTGGGGAATTCACAACCGGAGCCTTCGGCTAGCCGAAGCCTGACCCGCAAGTCAGCGGGGCGGTGTGTGAAAACCGCAGTCTATTGGGAGCTGGTGTCCAGTTCATCGGATCATACACCCTTTGGATGGGGTCGAACGTCCAAGGTGCGCAACATACCTCGATGCCAAATTGAGCCGGTGACCATTGCCACAACCGGGAAGGTGTGGGTGTGGTTCGTACACCTCCTCATAGTTGGTTTGGAATCAGGGTTTTTGGCCAACTCCCCTAGGTGCACTGCCAGTGAGCCATCAACTCAATTATAGCCCCGGATGTCGGCTTTTCGTCCTTTCACTTTGGTTGTGGAAAACCTCCGCCACGAGAAGGCAGCAGAGGCTATTCGAGATGCTTTTTTGTATGGGAGCATTTCGCTGGGTTCAAGTGGATAATGACCAACCGCAACCCTAGACACCTACCCCGACCATATAGCGGCTTTTAGGGTGATTTAGTTATTTCACCGTTACAGTGACGCCTTTTTATGAACACACGTGCCTCTTCCGTTTGCTGTTGATACGTTGCCATTCAGTGATCGGGTGTTTCGTTCGTTCACTTACTCTTATCCGTTCATGAGGGATAGGTGACCAGGGGA